TGTTGTACTTCGTTCAGTTACGTATTGCTGTGAAAATTACACCTGGATTATTTTATGTTACTGAGGTGAAGATGGGGTTCAGGTGTTACGTAATAAGTGGCCAGGTGTGTTGGTCACGGGGACACATCGTATAACCTCTAGACTGTATAATGGGTTGGGCTTCCCCCCCCCTCCACCATTCGTGTTCACCTAACGACTTCATGATCTTAACATCTCGCCCCTAACGATGTAATTATCTCCCCATCCTGTTAATAGCATTCCTTTTTGATGTCACCTTCAACATGAGAGGAAGGGGAGAGGAAGGGGGAGGGGGGGAGGAGATCAGATGGAAAATATGAGAAAAATGTGGGAGGGATAAGGGTGTAAGAGGCAGAGGGGAGGGAGAAATGGGAGAGGGGCGATGAAATGGTGAAGGCTAATGCGGAGTGGGAAAGGGGGGGTGAGAAAAGGGGAGAGGGGGAGAAGGGGTCCTTAAAACACCATTAGAACAGCTGCGCCTCAATGACCTCAGTCAAGGTAAGGAAGGAGCCTCCCTTTGTGTGGTCCTGATCCCTTCCTCCTAGTTTAACGCCTTCCGTGTATTGTGTGTGTGTGTTGTAGAGTAGGTTATCTTTCACGCTCGCCCATATCCCTTATGTCACGCCCACACCTATGTCACGCCCACACCTGTCCCGCCCCACACATCACGCCCACACCTATGTACGCCCACACCTATGTCCACCCACACCTGTGTCACGCCCACACCTATGTCACGCCCACACCTGTCCACACCCATGTCCCCTACACCATGTCCACGCCCACACCTATGTCCACGCCCACACCTGTCACGCCCACACCTATGTCCCGCCCACACCTATGTCCACGCCCACACCTATGTCCACGCCCACACCTATGTCCCACGCCCACCTATGTCACGCCCACACCTATGTCCACGCCCACACCTATGTCACGCCCACACCTATGTCCACGCCCCACACCTCATAATATCACAATCAACAGAATAATCTCCCTCGTACAGTATACATCATTAACCTACAACACACAGGTACACAATACATCACCATTGTATTTATAAAGATTCTTAAAAATACTAATAAACTGATCTAATTAAATATAATGAATAAAGTGAATTGAATAAAGATAAAAACATATATAAGGTAATAATTAGTTTATATATGAGACTTGAGATAATTTGTGAGATAATGAAAGATTTGATAAAAGAAATATGAAAATAGTAAATGAAATGGACATAACTTATTTTATATAGGAAAAATATGAAATAAACGTGGCTTACTTACTGATGAAACAAGCATTGATTTATGGAACGAAATATACGATTTATATAAGAGAAATATACGATTTATATAAGAGAAATATACTATTTATATAAAGAAATATACTATTTATATAAAGAAATATACGATTTATATAAGAGAAATATACCTTTATATAAAATATACGATTTATATAAGAGAATATACATTTATATAAGAAATATACGATTTATATAAGAAATATACGATTTATATAAAGAAATATACGATTTATATAAGAAATATACGATTTATATAAGAAATATACTATTTATATAAGAGAAATATACTATTTATATAAAATATACGATTTATAAAGAGAAATATACTATTTAATATAAAATATACGATTTATATAAAGAAATATACGATTTATATAAGAGAAATATACGATTTATATAAGAGAAATATACGATTTATATAAGAAATATACGATTTATATAAAAATATACGATTTATATAACGAAATATACGATTTATATAAGAGAAATATACGATTTATATAACAGAAATATACGATTTATATAAGAGAAATATACGATTTATATAAGAAATATACGATTTATATAAGAAATATACGATTTATATAAGAGAAATATACGATTTATATAACAGAAATATGCGATTTATATAACAGAAATATACGATTTATATAAGAAATATACTATTTATATAAGAAATATACGATTTATATAAGAAATATACTATTTATATAAAGGAAATATACGATTTATATAAAGAGAAATATACGATTTATATAAAATATACGATTTATATAAGAGAAATATACGATTTATATAAAGAAATATACGATTTATATAAGAGAAATATACGATTTATATAACAAATATACGATTTATATAACGAGACAGGAGACATAATAGAAAGACATCATTTATATAATATACTATAAATAATAGACATTTTTATATAAGAGATGAAATAGACGTGATTCATATAGACATATTATAGACAATATAATTATGATTCATTCTATAGACATAATTGTTATACCACGAACGACCAAAGAGACAGACTAGGGTATAGACATAGATTAGAGCCTAGACTAAAACAGACATAAATTAAGACATAGACTAAATCCTAGACTCAGACATTGTTGCGGTTTGATATGGAAGAGGAGGAGGAGGAGGAGGAGGAGGAGGAGGAGGGAGGTGGAGGAGGAGGAGGAGGTGGAGGAGGAGGAGGAGGTGGAGGGGGAGGAGGACAAACCGTCAATTGGACAGTGTTTTTGTCCCAATTTTACAGGTGACAGCTGAATTATTCCCCTCTCTCTCTCTTCTCTTCTATCTCTCTCTCTCTCTCTCTCTCTCTCTTCGTCACTCTCCCTTACCCTCTTTCTCCTTCCCTCTTCCTCTTTCTGTCATTTATCTGTCTGTATAGCTGTCTGTCTCTCTTTCTCACCTCCTTTACCCTCTCTCTCCTTCCTTTCCACCTTTCCTCCCCTCTCTTCCCTCTACCACCTTCTCCCTCTCCTCCTCCACTTTCTCAAACAGGAAAAAAGAATAGGAGTTTCTTACCCATGAAATGCTTATTAACATCACCTGGCCTCACCTGATGGTGTGATGAGTTCTGGAATGATACTCGTAATGTCATTGAACTCTCTCTCTCTCTCTCTCTCTCTCTCTCTCTCTCTCTCTCTCTCTCTCTCTCTCTCTCTCTCTCTCTCTCTCTATCTACTGACAACTATGGGATTGGTAACATTGTACCATCACCTAGTTAGCAACGTTCTACCATCACCTAGTTGGTAACAGTGTACCATCACCTACTGTAGATGGGGAAAGTATGCGTTATGCTGCCTCATGTTCTTGACCACGTCACACGCACGCACGCACACGCACACACACACACACACACACACACACACACACACACACACACACACATACACACACATACACACACACACCTCCCCACTTAGTTATATATATTAATAATAATAATAATAATAATAATAATAATAATAATAATAATAATAATAATAATAATAATAATTATAATAATAATAATAATAATAATAATAATAATAATAATAATAATAATAATAGTAATAGTAATAATAATAATAAATAATATATTAAATAATAATAATAATAATAATAATAATAATAATAATAATAATACAGGTAATAATAATTCGCCAACAACACACTACACATACAGTACTACATTAACACAAACATTAGTAAGTGGTGACATCATCGTCAAAACCACCAGGTCATCAACACACACCCTGCAGTACACCAACTTTTTACGTTTTCTAAAGTAACCTGTACTTATCGTCGTCATTTACATAATTTAGACACAAGGACAAGAGTTGCTTGAGTATCTGATCAAGACAAGGTCAGCAGGTTGGCAGTCTCATCGATAAGGGGGGTTTCGGGGTTCGTAACTATTCAGAATTCTGGGTTTTTACTACAGATGATGACACTTAGATGGCAGGAGGTGTAGTGAAGATGTATTGTTAAGACTCTTGGGTATGGTATTGACCTTGCCTCTTCTTCCCCGTCCTTCCTCATCAACACTCCGGCCTTCACCTGTCCACCTGCCATCTAATTGACTCATTATTACTCATCTAGCGATTCATCCTCGATTTAGAAGTCATCAATGTGTACCTACTCGTCAGAATGGCTACTCGTCCATAGATACATCCCCATCAGTAACTCACCCATACTAACAGTCACTCATAACTCATCATCCCTGACCTTCACCCATCAAAACATCCTATCACCCGCTCACTCTCTCGACTCATCCACTTGTGTTAGCCGACCTCCAGGATGTTTGCTTCCCCCCTTCAGGACCAGGGCACCGGTCTCTCGTGGAGGGCGTCCTTCACCTTCTGTATTTCTCTCTCTTCGTTTCTATATACCTGTTATTCTTTACTGTCTGTCTCTCTCTTTCTCTCTCTTTCTCTATCTCAATATCTAGCATTCCTTCTCTCTCTGTCTCTCAATAACTCTACCATTCCTTTTTCTCTATGCTACGATATATCTTTCATTCTTTCTTCTCTCTTTTCTTCGTCTGTCTGTCTCTCTTTCTCGCTTTTCATCTTCCTCTTCGTTCACTTTACTCGTTACATAATCTATCCTATCTCAACACCTGACTGGAATATCCACACATCTACCTAAACCACAACAAACAAAACATTCTATACCTTCAATCATTCCAATAACAACAATAAATATCAATAATAATAAAAAAAATAATAATAATACGCTTTTATAAACCTAAAACGAAATTGTTAAAAGATTATAGCAGAACAGATAAATTCACACGGTTGGGGTCCCTTAATAACACCTTACATGGTCAACAGACACCCCTACCAACAACACGTCCGGCCTGTTGTAATTACACTCCATAAGGTGGGGCTGGCCGTACCTTAAAGACCGCCCCCACCCCCTGCTCTCCCCTCCTCCCCTACCCCCCCCTCCCTCCTCTGTAATTAACATCGTGTCTACCGCTCCGGAATCATAAACAGTGACCGTGTGTGGGAGAGTCTTGGGTTACTACGTGATTGTTGTTGGTAATGAACAATTACCACACCACACCACCACACCACACCACACACACGGAAACACTTATCTGTTATGTGTATTGAGGGTGGGTGAGGCAGAGACTTTGTGTGATGTGTTTAAAGGGGTTTAGTTGTTGTTGTTGTTGTTGTTGTTGTTGTTGATTGTTGTTGTTGTTGTTGTTGTTGTTGTTATTTGTAGTTGTTGTTGTTGTTGTTGTTGTTGTTGTTGTTGTTGTTGTTGTTGTTGTTGTTGTTGTTGTTGTAGTTGTTGTTGTTGTTGTTGTTGTTGTTGTTGTTGTTGTAGTTGTTGTTGTTGTTGTTGTTGTTGTTGTTGTTGTTGTTGTTGTTGTTGTTGTTGTTGTAGTTGTTGTTGTTGTTGTTGTTGTTGTTGTTGTTGTTGTTGTTGTTGTTGTTGTTGTTGTTGTTGTTGTTGTTGTTGTTGTTGTTGTTGTTGTTGTTGTTGTTGTTGTTGTTGTTGTTGTTGTTGCCTCACATTTCTAACACTGAGGCTCTCTATATATTTTTCCCGTCTATGATCGTTCACATCTTTCCTTCACTCACCCATATATCTCTTCTCTGACCTACACATCTCACCTCTCTGACCTACATCTCACCTCTCGGCCTACACATCTCTCACCTCTCTGACCAACACATCTCTCTCCTCTCTGACTACATCTCCCCTCTCTGAACTACATCTCTCACCTCTCTGCCTACACATATCTCCCTCTCTGACCTACATCTCTCACCTCTCCTGACCTACACATCTCTCACCTCTCTGACCTACATCTCTCCTCTCGGCTACACATCTCTCACCTCTCCGACCTACACATCTCTCACCTCTCTGACCTACACATCTCTCACCTCTCTGACCTACACATCTCTGACCTCTCTGACCTACACATCTCTCACCTCTCTGACCTACATCTCTCCCTCTCTCGCCTCTCTGGCCTACACATCTCTCACCTCTCTGACCTACATCTCTCACCTCTCTGACCTACACATCTCTCACCTCTCTCAGCCTACACATCTCTCCCTCTCTGACCTCTCTGACCTACACATCTCACCTCTCCTGACTACATCTCTCACCTCTCCCAGCCTCACATCTCTCACCTCTCTGGCCCTACATCTCTGACCTCTCC